ATACTAGGCTACATTCCATCATTGTTAAATGTTTAACAATGATGGAAATGTCCTGCATTGTTCTAGAGCAGCCATCACATTAGAGTTTTGTGAATATACAAAACATTCCTTGAAGTTGAGAAAGTAACAGACAACGTTTCGAAAATAACATTTTTTTTAAGATTTAAAATAAGATTTCCTGCGTGGGTTTTCATCCAAAGATAACATTACCCGTAACTAAGGTTATATTTTGTCAATTGTTACAAGTCCATTTCTTCTTCACGTGTCTCCAGAAAACGAAACTAGCTGGATGGTTCTCAGATATTAATGGTCATTGTCAATAATCGTGAAAAAGTTTGCTAGCATTCTAAAACGTAAAGTTTCCAAAAATATTGATTTAAAAGTTTTGGAACTGTTCAAATGTAGTTGTTGATTTATAAGAAAAGTTGCCGTTGATAAACGTAGAGGTGAGAAAGAAATGCATTTAAAGTTGAAAAAATTTGATCTTTTGTCATTCCGAACTGGATCAAGCAACAGGGTAATAATTTAGAAAATTTAAAAATTTTCAAAACCTGTCTAATAAATATAAATGATTTAAACTGAATATCGAACAGTTACTATTTCTCCTACCTCTAATCTTAAGTCTGCTTCAACGCATTCCTGTTCTCTTATTTTCCAATCCTGTCTGCCACAAGTATAGAACGTTTCTTCGTTTCTCACTGGAGGTTCTTCAGATTCAGAATCCAACAGAGGGAATGGCTCACAGCTGAGAGTTATTTGTTTGTTAATATCCTGTTCAATGCGATCTTTTAACTGCTTTACGTCTTTTCGCAGTTGAATGACAGTGTCTTCTAGCTCTTTCTTTTCCTCTTCTAATTCTATTATCTTTTGGTTCAACTCCGTCTCCCGTTGCAGAAGGATTATATCAGCTTCTTCCAGAGTTTCTTTAAGGGCATTTTCCGATCTATGAATTCTGGCAAGTTCCTTTTTTAGATTTTCTCTTTCTTGCCGTAAATTTTCCAAATTCTGCGTCATGTCGTCTTTTTCCTTTAATTCATCTTTTAGTGCTTCTTGCGACTTTGCTATTCCTTTAATTTTAAGCAACAAGTTTCTCTCCGTGTTCTCCAGCTCACAAACTTTATCCTTGAGTTCACTCTCTCTAGCCTCGGCTTCCATTAGTTCCTCCAACAAGTCGCTACTCCTACGAACATCGGTTCCTCTCTGCTCGTATTTTAATGCGTTACGAAGACGACTTTCGATATCTTCCAAATGAGAGACGCGCAGTTTTAAGTTCCGTTCTGACCTTTCTAATTCGTCAATTTTTTCCTTATATCCACGTTCTAAAGATGCGACAATCTTGTCAGCACTTTCTAATGTTTCCCTGTATGCTGCTTCCTTCTTTTCCATTTCTTCGAGCCTTTGTTGAAGTAATTTTTCTCTTTCTGATACGTAAACCAATTTTCCACCCTCTTCGTTAATATCTATCTCACTTGTTGTTACGGAAGAAACGTCTTCAGTTAGCTTACCAATTTCACTTTTAAGTTCCAAAACTTGTTTCTCTAATTCTGATATTCGAAATTTATATGTTTTTTCTTTAGAATGTAGATCTTCCAAGTCAGTTTGGAGATTCAGTTCTAGCTTCTGTTTCTCTTCTTTCAATGCAGTTACAGTAATTGTCGTGCTCTCCTCCATTTCTTTTAACTTCCATTTCAACTCTGCTTCAACCAAATGATTCTCTTCTTCTAAAAGTTTCGTGGAATTTTTATACTGCTGGTTACAGAGTTCAAGTTCATTTTGTTTTGCCTCTAAATCTTTTTCTAATTTTGACTGTTTCTCACGAAGTGACGCAATTTCTTCATTAAGATTCAGTTCTTGAAGACGTAGCTCCTTTATTTCTTCTTCCAACGTTGACTCTTTAACCAAGTGTTGAGATTTTAGGAGTTTTATCTCTGATTTATGCGTTTCTTTGAGTGCTTCTAGTTGTTTTTTATTTTGCTCAACTTGTTCATCCAAGTCTTTTTGGTCATCTTGTTCAGTTTGTAAGTCTTCCAAACTACTTGCACAAACTTCTACATCACGGATTTTTTTAATCGATTCATTTTTTACTATTTCTTCTTTTTCAGGGCATTGGCTTATTTGTTTTGTGATTTCTTCTATTGTTTTCTCTAAATCCTTTATCTTAGTTCGAAGATTTGCAACCTCCTGACTATGTCTGTGTTCTAAATCTTCCAGTTCTTTAGCGTGTTCTAACTTTAGGGTTTGAAGTGTTTTCTGGATGTTTTCAACTTCTTTTTCAAGGTTCTTTTTTTCTAAATCTAGCAATGAAGCTTTTTGAAACAGTAAAGTCTTTTCTCCATTCAATGTCTGAATTGTTTCTTTAAGTATTTTTTCTTCTTGCATCCATTTCTGTTGTTGTTTATCTTTTTCTTTGTAAAGTTTCTCTCTTATCTCAAGTTCTTTTTCAAATTCGTGGTTAATTTTTTCTAGCTCCCAAAGTCTTTCTTTAAGTTTCTGTTCATTTCCTTCTAAGCTTAATAGTCTAGAAAGAATATGTTCATGTCTGTGTTCTAACTTACTACTAGTCGTCACCTCTAATTGTACAGGAAGAGAGCTTTGCATCTCTTTGTCAAAAGAGCCAACATTTTTTGTAGTTAAAAGATCATCGAGTCGAGCTGTGGCTTTGTAGTGTTTTTCTTCACTTCCTTTTTGAAATGACATTTCCCAGCTTACGTTCTCCCTCTTACAAGCTCCTACATCGTTACCTAAATCATATAATTTCTGCCAAAGAACCAGATTTAAACCATCCATCTGGTGAAGTTGTTCTCTGAGCACAGAATCTTCTGCTTCTAACGCCCTCAGCCGGACCAATAAAGCTTTTTGTTTCTCGCTCAACACCTCAGAGGATGCACAAAGTGAAGGGTGGGAAAAAACGGACTCAAGTGTGTACAGTGGATTTTTTCCTAACTCGTGGCTGCACGAACCATACTCAGTTTGAGTAGATTGATCTGACATTGATTTGGCGCAATTAACTCTATTAATATCAACCTGTACTTCTACAGAGCAAATTTCAGACGGCGTGTACCTCTGTGAGTTCACGGTGTCCAGAATTTCTGAAGAATCTGTGTTTTTTGAATACTCGGAATGCTGCTTTAATGTGGTGGGCTGTATACGAAGATTTTCTTCAGTAGCTTGATGTAACATCTGTTCAAGTCTGAAAACCTTTTTTTGAAGTTCTGTTTCAGACGATTCGAGATCTTGAATATGAACCTCATATTTCTGAACCAATGTCTCCATGTAAGTTATCTGCGAACGAAGCTCGTTCTCTGTTGCTTCTGCCACCATCAGCTGCTTACGGGCGACTTCAGAATCTCTGTTTCTATCGGATAGTTTTTCTTCTAATCTCTTCTGTTTCTCTAACAAATTCTTCAACTGCTCTTGTAACTTCTGTTCCCCACATCTGGCATCATTTTCAGATTCTTCAAGCTCTAATAATTGCTCTTGGAGTTCCTTCTTCTCCGTTTGTATTGCAACTAAATGTTTTTGTTGATCTTCAAACTTAGCTTGCTGCTTTTCCATCTCCAGTTGCCATTTCTTTATTTCTTCAGATTTACTTTGATGAGTTGTACAGTTTTCAGATAAAAGTTTACAGATCTGTGCTTCTTTTACTTTCAGTTTTTCCTGTAACTCCATAACCAAAGTCTCTGAATGCTTGAGACAATCAGACAGTTGTTTTTCTTTTTGTTGTAAACTGTCCATCTGCTGAAATCTCGACCTCATCTGTTCGAATTCCTGTGGTTTTGAGTGTTCCAAAACACGGTTTTCGCCAAAATCCAAATCCGAGGACTTGGACAAAAGATCTTCTTCAGATTCATGAAGATCAGTAAGACTACTTGGACCCGTAGAATCTCCTCGTCTACTGTCATCGCCAAGACCTTCGTCTTCACTAGTTGCAGTTCCCATGGAATCTGGCTCATCAGGGAAAACTTCATGGAGCCGATCTACATCTTTATTGGTATTAACAGAAGTACCAGACAAACTTGGCCGATGGTCAAGTTGTAAAAGGAGTTTCTCTATATCTTCTCTAGCTGACACGTAGTCTATATATAATCGAAGATTCTTCTCCACAAGTTCTTGTTCTGACTTCTCGACAGTTGTTAATCTTCCACTTAAATCATTATTTATCCTCTCATAATCATTGAGTACTTGTCTAAGATGATCGCATGATTTACATACATCCCTAAGCTTTTCTTGCAACCTCTCGTTTTGAATTTCTGGAGATGCCAGATCCTGTCTTTCTGGCAAGGCTGATAAGTTACTTTTTTGGCCATCGGTTTCACTAACTGCTTCGAGTTTTTCTAGTGCTTCTTTTAACGAGTTGTTTTCTTTCATTAGATGTTGTACTTTCTCGTGGTGCTTTTTACTTTCTTCTTCGGTATTTTCTAGTTGCTAGATAAACAAACACAAAGCTTATCAATATCATGCTTTCTAGAACGTTTGGGTACATTTTTACTAAAGCAGAAATAATTAACATCAATGATATTATAGCTAATATAGCCTGCCTGACAAACTGTTTTAAAATACAACTTAAAGATACAAATAAGTTTAAGATCCAAATAAATCTAATTATATATCAACAAGTGTGAAAATCAGGACGGTAAATGCGCAGTTCGTTTAATTACTTTTCACATGAATTCAAGTTCACAAAAACTTTCAATACTCAACTGTTTTAAGACTATTAATGTGTTCTATGTGTTCCTTTAAAAGGGCAGCTTGAGCGTCCTGACCTCTAGTGGCAATAGCTAATTGAGACTGTAAATCTTTAAAGGCGTTTCTAAGATGCCCCACACACTGTTGGTTCATCTCCTCCATCTGATTCAAAGTAGCTTCCCGTTTCTGGACCTCTTCCAGCTCTTCTTGTGTGCTAGTGAGTATCTGAAAGGTTCCAAAAATTATCAAATTAATTTCCTTCTATAGAATAAATTTTATATTAACAGCCTCAACAAAGCCTGAGCGAGTTTCAGAGTTTTAAAGATATCAAATGTTCTTATGTGTATAAATTACGTAATCAATGGTGTGAACTATACAATAGCTAAATCATAGTACAATATTTTATCCACAATTAAATGTTTTACGTGACAAACATTTTCTTTCATTTATAAAAATTTTGGGGGTCCAAGAAATGTTAGAAACTTTTTAGGGTTAGTTTCCAGAAAACTTATACGTTACTTTGTTCAAATGAAGACTATCTCAGGTCTAAAAATTTAAGGTTCCAAAAACTTCAGTTCCATTCCTTGTTCTATACTTCTTAATCATTTAGTTAGAGACAAAAATTTTACTTAAAGCTTTTTTACAATATGATTTCACATGTTCAAAGATAAATTTACGAAAAAAAAGACTAAAATCCAAATATTAGTTTAAACTTAAGATTATTAATAAAGAAACTGCTAGAGAAAAATGTTTTCTCTCTTAATTTAATAATTAAGTCTACACTACGTTTCTTTTAGAGAAATTCACAAGAAAATATATCTTTTAGAAAGCAACTATGTTAAACCTTTAAGAAATGACGATTCATCACAAGATCAGCACAATATAAATTACTATGGTTCATTAGGATTCATCACAAAATAAGCACAATATAAATTACCATGGTTCATGACGATTGATCACAAGATCAGCACAATATAAATTACCATGGTTCATGAAGATTCATTACAAAATCAACACAATATAAATTACAATGGTTCATGACGATTCATCACAAGATCAGCACAATATAAATTACCATGGTTCATGAACATTCATTACAAAATCAACACAATATAAATTACCATGGTTCATTACGATTCATCACAAAATCAGCACAATATAAATTACCATGGTTCATGAAGGTTCATTACAAAATCAACACAATATAAATTACCATGGTTCATGAAGATTCATTACATAATCAGCACAATGTAAATTACCATGGTTCATGACGATTCATCACAAAATCAGCGCAATATAAATGATCATAGTTCATGACGATTTATTACAAAATCAGCACAATATAAATTACCATGGTTCATGACGATTCATCACAAAATCAGCACAATATAAATTACTATGGTTCATTACGATTCATCACAAAATCAGCACAATATAAATTACCTTGAGTCTGTAAAACTTCAATTAAAGCAGCGAATAAACACTACTGAAAATCGGGGGGAACCTTGAGTCTGTAAAACTTCAATTAAAGCAGCGAATAAACACTACTGAAAATCAGGGGGAACCTTCAGTCTGTAAAACTTCAATTAAAGCAGCGAATATATTTGTTCGAATACTTCAGATTCTTAATCACTGATTATTAAAATACAAAATTAAATATTAAAATAATCGCCAGAATTAGGAATATGCAAGAAATAATGAAGAAAAGCAACAATACTGTACAAATTGGTAGAGGGTGAGCGTGGTCCAGTGGATCCGAGGTTTGTACCTCGTTATTGCTAAAAAAATAAATCGCTCTTCGCACTTTGGGGCTGTGGGTGCGTTATAAAAGTGACAATCAAATCTCTCCACTCGATCAGAGTAGCTCAGGAGCTGGTAGAGGGTGGTGTTGACTAGCTGCTCGCCCTCTAGCCTATTACTTCAAAATTAGAGGTAGAACTGTACTTAAACAACCAGAGAGTCTCTTCTGTCGTTTTTCTTGGAAAGCCGCGAGTTACAATTAAGGAAAATGGGTTAAAGAATCTTAGCCACGTATAAAATACTATTTTAATATCAACTGTGAACCAATTAGCCACGTATAAAATACTATTTTAATATCAACTGTGAACCAATTAGCCACGTATAAAATATTATTTTAATATCAACTGTGAACCAATTAGCCACGTATAAAATATTATTTTAATATCAACTGTGAACCAATTAGCCACGTATAAAATCGAAACTACTATCAACTGTGAACCAATTAGCCACATATAAAATCGAAACTACTATCAACTGTGAACCAATTAGCCACGTATAATATTAAAACTACTATTTTAATATGAACTGAGAACCAATTAGCCACGTATAAAATTAAAACTACTATTTTAATATGAACTGAGAACCAATTAGCCACGTATAAGATTAAAACTACTAGTTTAATATCAACTGTGAACCAATTAGCCACGTATAAGATTAAAACTACTATTTTAATATCAACTGAGAACCAATTAGCTACGTATAAAATTAAATCTACTATTTTAATATCAACTGTGAACCAATTAGCCACGTATAAAATATTATTTTAATATCAACTGTGAACCAATTAGCCACGTATAAAATCGAAACTACTATCATCTGTGAACCAATTAGCCACATATAAATACTATTTTAATATCAACTGTGAACCACTTAGCCACATATAAAATACTATTTTAATATCAACTGTGAACCAATTAGCCACGTATAAAATCGAAACTACTATTTTCATATCAACTGTGAACCACTTAGCCACGTATAAAATTAAAACTACTATGGCTAATTGGTTCACAGTTGATATTAAAATAGTATTTTATACGTGGCTAATTGGTTCACAGTTGATATTAAAATAGTATTTTATACGTGGCTAATTGGTTCACAGTTGATATTAAAACCGTATAAAATATCATTTTAATATCAACTGTGAACCAATTAGCCACGTATAAAATACTATTTTAATATCAACTGTGAACCAATTAGCCACCTATAAAATATTATTTTAATATCAACTATGAACCAATTAGCCACGTATAAAATTAAAACTACTATTTTAATATCAACTGTGAACCAATTATCCACGTATAAAATACTATTTTAATATCAACTGTGACCCAATTATCCACGTATAAAATACTATTTTAATATCAACTGTGAACCAATTATCCACGTATAAGATACTATTTTAATATCAACTGTGAACCAATTAGCCACATATAAAATCGAATCTACTATTTTAATATCAAATGTGAACCAATTAGCTACATATAAAATACTATTTTAATATCGACTGTGAACCAGTTAGCCACGTATAAAATTAAAACTACTAGTTTAATATCAACTGTGAACCAATTAGCCACGTATAAAATTAAAACTACTATTTTTAATATCACAATTAGCCAAGTATAAAATTAAATCTACTATTTTAATATCAACTGTGAACCAATTAGCCACGTATAAAATACTATTTACATATCAACTGTGAACCAATTAGCCACGTATAAAATTAAAACTACTATTTTAATATGAACTGAGAACCAATTAGCCACGTATAAAATTAAAACTACTATTTTAATATCAACTATGAACCAATTAGCCAAATATAAAATCGAAACTACTATTTCAATATCAACTGTGAACCAATTAGCCACGTATTAAATACTATTTTAATATCAACTGTGAACCACTTAGCCACATATAAAATCGAAACTACTATTTTAATGTTAACTGTGAACCAATTAGCCACGTATAAAATTAAAACTACTATTTCAATATCAACTGTGAACCAATTAGCCACGTATAAAATCGAAACTACTATTTTAATATCAACTGTGAATCAATTAGCCACGTATAAAATATTATTTTAATATCAATTGTGAACCAATTAGCCACGTATAAAATTGAAACTACTATCAACTGTGAACCGACAATTCGTTTCTTAGCTAAAAACATTCTGCCAAAATACTAATTTTCTTTCTGAGTTGTGTACCAGTACATATGAAAGCTAGGGGCGTTATACAATGGTTAAACTACGCAATACGAAACTAAATGCTTATAATCATGCACGAGAGTGAAGCTGAAACTAAACATCTAGCGTTTTTTCTGACGAAATATTACACTTTGAAAACTAGTTACTAAGCGCTTTTCCTAACGAAACATCCTGTCTCGAAATATTAACATCAATAGCTTGTCCTAACAAATTCAGCTCCCCTTCTAAATTAAACACAAAGTACATATCCTAACAAAACGAGCCATCTTGTAAACTCAACACAAAGTGCATTTTCTAACAAAACGATCAATCTTGAAATCGAAACATAGATACAGCTCCTAATAAAGCGATCCACCTTGAAATCTAAACTCGAAGTACATCTCCTAACAAAACGAGCCATCTTGAAAACTCAACACAAAGTGCATTTTCTAACAAAACGATCCATCTTGAAATCAAAACATAGATACAGCTCCTAATAAAGCGATCCACCTTGAAATCTAAACTCGAAGTACATCTCCTAACGAAATGTCCCATCTTGTTCATTTTAACTTCACCGTCTGTAATTTAGAACTGACGCTCAGTGAAGGTTTTTTAACGTCTGGGGTACATTTATGTGTTTCTTTTCTTATGTCTCTGTTTCAGCTTTTAACCCGACTTCAGATTTATAATGCTTTGTAAATAATTGCTTTGATTTTTATCTTCTAACCTGTATCGTTGCTTGTATACATTTACAGATCCTATTACATTCGATATTATAATTTATTCTTGCTATTTTGATTTTAGAATTGTTAGTTGACGAACATGAAACGTTTATGGAACTTCGTGTAATTTAATTATCGAAAATATGCTATAATTTAAACTTAGCTGAAACTTTCAGTTTTACAGAATTTATTCTTCACATTAGTAGCCCCCCAGTGGCATAGCGGTATGTCTGCGGACTTACTATGCTAGAAACTGGGTTTTGATACCCGTGGTGGGCAGAGCACAGATAGCCCATTGTGTGTAGTGTTGTGCTTAATTCCAAACAAACAAAATCACGGTAGTAAATATTAACCTTTTGGGTTTCTTCCAGCTGTATTTTACACCTTTCGTAGTCTTCAATGAGGTCCTCTGGAGGGCGAATTGTAAACAGCTGTTTCTGAAACGTGGTGAAGTACTAATTAGTAGACAATTAACAAGAATTTATATTATTTCCATAAATTTCATATGTTGATGACAGATATCATTACCATTAGGAAAATATTAACAATATAAAAGATATGACTGATAATATTTAAAAAAAAGACAAATATATATACGATGAGTGTTTTCAAAATTAATTTAAGCTTTGTAAGAAACCGCTTACAATATTATAATCCAAACTAGAGTTTGATAAAAACTCATGAATACTAAGGATAACAAGTCGTTTTTGGTTTTAGGTTCGTGACACTATCTCGTTCCTTGAACAACACAACAGGTATTTAGGTTCGTGACACTATCTCGTTCCTTGAACAACACAACAGGTATTTAGGTTCGTGATACTATCTCGTTCCTTGAACAACACAACAGGTATTTAGGTTCGTGATACTATCTCGTTCCTTGAACAACACAACAAGTATTTAGGTCCGTGACGTTGTGTTGTTCAAGGAACGAGATGGTGGGTATTTATGTTCGTGACACCATCTCGTTCTTTGAACAACACAACGGCTATTTATGTTCGTGACACCATCTCGTTCCTTGAACAACACAACAGGTATTTAGGTTCGTGACACTATCTCGTTCCTTGAACAACACAACAAGTATTTTGGTTCGCGACACAATCTCGTTCCCTGAACAACACAACAAGTATTTAGGTTCGTGACACTATCCCGTTCCTTGAACAACACAACAAGTAATTAGGTTCGTGACACTATCCCGTTCCTTGAACAACACAACAAGTATTTAGGTTCGTGACACTATCTCGTTCCTTCTCACGATAACGAAAATGGTACTAGAATCTTCCACAGGCCTGCTAACACAACAGGTTAGGCTAAACACAAGAGTAAATGAAGCAAGCTAAAGAAGCATTTAAAGTCTTACACAGCTTTATACTACGCTAAACAGGTGAAGCATAATAAACCTTTGTAACTCATGCCGCCAGAGCCAGAACAGGTGAAGCATAATAAACCTTTGTAACTCATGCCGCCAGAGCCAGAACAGGTGAAGCATAATAAACCTTTGTAACTCATGCCGCCAGAGCCAGAACAGGTGAAGCATAATAAACCTTTGTAACTCATGCCGCCAGAGCCAGAACAGGTGAAGCATAATAAACCTCATGCCGCCAGAGCCAGAACAGGTGAAGCATAATAAACCTTTGTAACTCATGTCGCCAGAGCCAGGGTGCAGCCAGGTAGAACCAGAAAAATGAAAGATCAAAGTTAGAAATGTATTTTTAAAAAAGGAAATTTAATTACTAATGGTATTCTCTAAAATAGGTCGACCTCCTTTCTTGACAACAACCTTGACATATTTTTTTGGAAGAAAAGTAAACCAGATTCAATATAAACACACACACTAACACACACACACATATATATATACGTGTATACATATATATATATATATATGAATAAATGAGAAGTTAGATCAGGAGATTGAAATTCGTGATTTTGCTAAAATGGCGGGTGCTATAGTAATTATACTACCAAATTCCAGAATTCCCCTTCATTGGTTGTTAAAGTCGATATTTAAAAGGATTCTTGGTCGACTTATAAAGTTCAGAACCCGTTTATTTGTTACTGATGTGCCAATTTTAAATGGTAGCAAAGTTGACTAAATACTGATTGCCAGATAGTCACGTGCTCGAATTCTTCCTGATCTCATGTTTTCAATTCTTCACACAAATTGTATCAGTGTTGTCACAGAGGAATATAGATATATACACCCTGTGTTTTCAAACTGAAAACTGTTTCCAGTTCTATGTATGTTCTATATATATATTTATATGTATGTATAAACAGTTTGCCCCTGAAGAAGAAAGGTCGGGTTATAAGGTTTTTATTATTTTGTATCAAGACATATTGAACCTACGTGTTTTTCTGACATCATGAATATGTATATATAACGTGTGTTATCATACGGAAAACCATTTAAAGTTCTGAACACCAAACACGAAAGCTTGAAACGTTGTTAAATATCAAACTGTCCTCCAGCCGTATACAACACTAATATATTCGCCTTTACCTTGCACAAACAGGCCGTTAGATTTCACAAACCGCTGAATATTTTACTAACTAACCTTTTCCCCTTCCAAATCGTTTATTTTCTCCTCCAAAGCTGCAACCGTTTCCTTCATATGTGTATGGCATGTCTCCAGGAAGCCAATGGTCTGAGCTAACACTGACCTTTCGTCGGAAGAGAACATCTGGACGAAATTCAAATAGAAAAATTAAAACTTTTTAATATTCCGAAAATGAATACCATCAGTAGCATTTACCAGTTTTTAGTCAATAGTTAAGGAAGATGTCGAAAATGTACCTCACCCTCCCAGGTCCTCAACGACATAAAACCCGGTGGCAAACATGGGAACATCCCGAAAAGATCTATATCCAAATCAAGGTCAAGATTAACATATTTGTATTAAACCCAACCCTATACTAAAATATTTGTACTAAACTATTTAAACCCGACTCTATACTAATAAATTTGTACTAAACTATCTAAACACGACCTATACTAAAATAATTGTACTAAACTATCTAAACCCGACTCTATACTAAAATATTTGTACTAAACTCTCTAAACCCGACTCTATACTAAAATATTTGTACTAAACTCTCTAAACCCGACTCTATACTAAAACATTTGTACTAAACTCTCGAAACCCGACTCTATATTAAAATATTTGTACTAAACTCTCGAAACCCGTCCTATATTAAAATATTTTTATTAAACTCTCTAAACCCGACCCTATATTAAAATATTTGTACTAAACTCTCTACACCCGACTCTGTACTAAAATAATTGTACTAAACTCTCTACATCCATGTACTGAATTCTCTAAACCAGACCCAGTACATGTATGTTAATATACTGGTTTAGAGAGTTCACCTTAACATACCTTTAGTTAATTTCGTAAAACCGATCCTATGATAAAAGTAAAGAGCACATACTGTACGAAAATCATTATTAATGCATTTGTTATAGTTTACTAGAAAATTAATATTTTTATTTGTTTTATAAATACTAAGCATTTACTTTGTGTGAATACAATTATAATTTCATCTTAGCTAGAGATATTTGTAGGTGCAAAGTCGAATTCGTCCCCACTTACAAAAGGCATTTCTGATTTGTATCACTTTGTTCGATTTCATATTGGAGAAGTTTAGGTAGGATCAGTACGTTGATTTTATATACTACTGTACTATTTAAGTTGTAATAAAAAATACATGTTGACGAAAAGTTGTGGAATCTGTATCGCGGTCAGAAAAAGGACTCTTAAAATTGACAATTTGCAAGTGTAACTTGCCACAACTATAATCAAGACAAGTTTAGGTACTATCGCACAAAAACTTAGTTATTTTAACACAAATTCAAGACACGTTTAGGTACTATCACACAAAACTTAGTTATTGTAACACAAATTCAAGACACGTTTAGGTACTATCGCACAAAACTTCGTTATTTTAACACAAATTCAAGACACGTTTAGGTACCATCGCACAAAAACTTCGTTATTTTAACACAAATTCAAGACACGTTTAGGTACTATCACACAAAACTTAGTTATTGTAACACAAATTCAATACACGTTTAGGTACCATCACACAAAAACGTCGTTATTTTAACACAAATTCAAGACACGTTTAGGTACTATCACACAAAACTTAGTTATTTTAACACAAATTCAAGACAGGTTTAGGTACCATCACACAAAAACTTAGTTATTTGAACACAAATTCAAGACACGTTTAGGTACCATCGCACAAAAACTTAGTTATTTGAACACAAATTCAAGACAGGTTTAAGTACTAACACACAAAAACTTAGTTATTTTAACACACATTATATTTAATATATGGTGAACTTTCAGCTTTTAAATTTACATTGTATTATGTTTGAATTTTTGCTGAAACTAGGATAATAAATATAGACTTCCAAGAAGTTTCTAAGAAACGTTACTTTCGCGAATCGTTTTTGTAAAAATCAAGTAAAGTTACAAGGTAACGTTTCATTAAATATACGTTTATGTTTAAGAAACTGTAACAGTTTTTTTATGAAACCGGAATCCTTTGAGGCGTCTGATATGACGTTAACAGTTAGTTGATCTGTATTACTGCACAAGTTGTCCTGTGTCTCACAAATGCACATTTCATGTATATTTTAAATAACGCCTTCGACATGTAAATGTATCAGAGTGACTTAGTGATTGGTTTGTCACAAGTTCAACTACAGCCTTAGGTGCAGATGGAAGCAGAGCTGAAACTGGAACATAATTCTTACTTTCTACCCATATTTATAGTTCAGGTAGCTCTATTTCTCCTGATGAAGACTTCCTCCTGTAGGTGGCAGTTTCTCTGCTTTGGTCTGTTTCTTTGCAAAAGGTTTCCAGAGGGAACCATGCACATTACTGCCAAGCCTGTTGGATAAAATCTGTAAACAAGAAACTTACCAGTTTGTAATAGACAGCACTAGAAGTTATCTCGTCTCTCCCCAGTTATATCACGTAATCACCCAAACCACTGAAAACTTTCCAGCATGTAAGATTTTCTTTTCTGGAGAATTTTTCAGTCTGACCTCATCCTCTCGTTTCTCTGGCAGCAGTTAAGGCATTTGTTTTAGTCACCAAGAGCCACCTTTGACGTTTCCTTGTACAGTCATTTGGTGATAAAGATATTCCAAGAATTTCCATTATAAAGACATTTTATTGCATGTTTCTTTGCTGCATGAAGAATCAATTTTGTGTTTTACTACTTCATGTCTACATCTATCCCATTTCAATAATTCTTTATCCTATTAATTCCAGTGTTAAGTACGATGTTATCAGAACGATTTTGAATATAAAAATCAGCAAGTCACGTGACAGTTACAACAGCCATTGAAAACTGATCACTTTTGAGAAGGGAATGTAACAGCCTTTTCCGACGAAAAATGTTCATGCACTCAGATCATAAAGATGTATTCAGATTAGGGATTTAGAATTTCCAAGACGGGGATATCCTTTGTACTTAATGGTATTGATAAACATAGCAATATGGATCAACTTGGGGTACCTGGACCATCCAGAAAAAGAACTGCATCAAGTTGCATCCCAGCTATAGTAAACAAAGTGCGAAATCTTATAACAGGTAATAATTCACGAACACAAAGCTCCATGACATAAACCGTCAACGTGCCCCGGGCAACAGTACAAAACATAATCAAGAAGAATATCTGGCTAGGAAAGCAACACAAGTCATGTGTACACAAGTTGCTTCTACGACATTGCCGTTCAAACGTCGCATGGCTCAAGCAGCTGGAGTATGAAACAGGTATTCATAATATTATATTCAAAGACATACTAGTCATGTTACATACAGATTTTTGTACTATCGAACTGTTACAAGGACCACTCGAAAACTGAAGTTCTTGTACTAGATGGCTTATGGAAAGCACACATGGAGAGGAGTGTGCTCTGAATATGAGAACTTCATAACGGAGCCTTTTCCAATATAAACTACGCAGCAGAGGTATTAATAAGGTATACAGTCGTGATACATAGTATGACAGAACATAGCGATATAGACTGTAACGACAGGAGAAACTCGAAAATCGTTTTAATATAACAAACGCAACCTATGTAGCTAATTATTATATCTCTATTCTAGCTGACAATACTTGGTATCATTTCAACTAGCTAGATGACCTACATCTATTTCATTTCACGGTATTTTATCTTGATAGACAACAGCATCAGTTTTTTTGCTATATAAACTATCGGTTCATTCTTCAATTTGATGTGTACCAGAAGATTTATTTTCATCATTAAATCTCCAATTCGAGTTTCTTCCATCAATAAAGATTCTTTCTGGCCTAAGCGACGTTCATTTCATTCTTACCTTATCAATTATAGCTTACAATTAGGTTCTACTCGATGATATTTGTTGGGTACAACTGTTCAATTCTCTATGTTCGTAACATCTCACGAGTCAACTACAAGAATGTTAGAGCGTGATTGGTCTAAAAACCAAACTACCCACCCTCCTTTCTCTGTTCTAGGGTAAAGTTAAACCTAGAAATACATATTAAAACTGTGTAATTCCTGACATCTGATTAAATCGTATTTATTCTCAGTGGTACCAGTATGTAAAGTTGAATACAATATTCTTGGAATAATGTATTTTAGGTTATAATGTGGAAGTTTATAATGGAAATCACGTGTTTTGACATTCAGTATCTCTGCTATAAGTGGTTAAAAATGAATCAAAGAGTTACTGGGATTCTATTGAAGAAATCCATCTGTGATGCTAAAGATAAACATACAGATCCCAGTGGATCAAATACCATCATATAAGCTACAGCACTATCAGGTAACATTTCGTTTCTAATCTCAAACTCGGGATTTATACGACTTATTATCTCACCTTTTAACTACAAAACGAATAACATGTTATACAATCTTTACACCAGAATTTAGATAATTATTAACTCTAAACAAGTTAACTTATTTCGTTTAAAAGGTTTTTAGGCTTAGAAAAAAAATGTCTTGTTTATTTCAGCCTAATTATCTACCTTTCAATAATTTTATGAATTTTTATCTTTGTATCAACAGTGTGTCTAACTCTTTTTAGTACCACTAAAACAGAGAAAAACAAAACTGAAACCTACCCCTTTATAATATACATTCTTTAGTTTTTCGCTCAGTTCGTTAAATGTTTCTGCCTGCAATAAAGATAGGAAAGATTACAAAAAATTAAGCAAACATTTTTGTACAATAAATAAAAAACCATGTTTATTTTTAACAGTTAGAAAGTATAGTTAGTTGTAT